GGGGTTTGCGCGGGGCAAGAAAGGTGGAGGTGGCTGCCAGGAACACCCCGATACTCGGTCTCTGGCTCTGCACAACATCCCTGTTACCACAGAGCTCAGCTTTCGGTGTTGGCCATCCCCATCTCGCGCTTCCCAAACAAAAGGCCAAAATCTGTGCTTTGCCTGCTGCCTCCCCGCCTGCGCTGGCTTTCCCGCAGCTCGGCTGCTGTTCGCGCCCTGGGGCTGGTGTTGGTCCTGTCCTTCGCGGTGGCTTAGACTTGTCTTTTATTTTTTTCCTCTTTTTTTTTTTTTTTTTTTAAAGAAAAGTGTTTTAAAGAAAATCTCCCAGTTTGTCTCATGTACCAGAGTTCCAAAATTTATTATCACAAGTAGGAATGCACAAGTGATGCTAGAATAAAGAAAACCTGACAAACGGGCGCATGGCCGTGATTCACTGAACGTGTCGGCTCTGGGCAAGGAAGGAAGTAGCTTTGGCTTTTTCTGACTTGCACGGGGCTTCACTCTGGTCACCCTGAACTTTACCATTTTATTTGGGAGGTAAAATTAAACTGGGGCTGAGCCAGAACCTTTCCCTGCACCTTTAGAAATGCTCCGTGGGGGTCGAAAAGCGTGCTCAGGGGGTTTGCAAGCGTTCCTGGGAGCTGCTGCTTGTTTCCTGAAGATGGTTTCTGATGTGAAAAGCCTGAAGGTGTGTTTCGTCTAGTTTAGTTCCTCAGAGATTAAGAAATTTTATTTTTTTTTAATAGTTGTGATTAAAGTCCTAGGCTCTCCCAGGGGTAGACAATGCTGCTGTAAAATTGACCCACTAAGACTCAGGGATGGGCATTCTGTCATGAGAACAGCTTCACTGCATCGCTCTTGGGAGTGTTTAGGCCAGTTGCATCTCTTCCCCCACCCCCAGCAAAAAAAAATAAATCCCACCGCAGACCCTTCCATGTGAAAATGCAAACCTCTGATGTCTTTCCAGCTGTTAAAGCTCTCCGAAGGTTTCCATGCGAAAGGAAAAGAGGGTGTGATGTGTCTTACACTGCTGTATTTGAATTTTCTGTTGTGCTTAAAACCCAGACTTGCCCTTGACTGGCCCTGCTTTGAGCAGGGAGGAAAAGGCATTGTGTAAAAAGGAGAGAAAAAAAAAAAGTGATTAAAAAGCAGGTGAAAGGAATGTGTGTGGGGACACAGAAAGTGTTTGAACACTAGGGAAGGTGTGAAGTTTACACAAAAAACCTCAGGTGACATTGTCAAAAGAATTAGAACTCTTTATTCTTAAATAATTAGCTGTACCCTGATTCAAAGTTTTTCCAGCTTGAGCTGGTGTTCCTGAACAGCAACGGGGCCAGGGCCCCCACGACAGTGTTTGTCCCTCAATTAGCAGAGACTTCATCTGGAGAATAAACACTCTGGGTCTGCAGCGGCTGCAAGATCCTGCTGAGGGAAGGGGTTCCGAGGAGGAGCTGTGGAGAAGGTGTCGGTAGATGCTCAGGCTGGTGGGGGGAGCTGGAAAACTCACTCCAGGCTGTCCTGTCCTAAGGACTGACCTTCGTGGTGTTCTCACCTCCCACTCCTTGGAAAGCAGGGACCTGGGCTCCGGGGCCGGGTGGCGCACGAGGAGGAAGGCCCAGCTGGTGAGCTGCGTGTGAACCCCCGGCGGCGGGACAGCCTCGGTGGAGCCCGAGACGCGGGAGAGGAGAGTCTCTCCTGGTGGGTGCCAGAGTGAGGTGAGACAAGGCTACGTCCGTGGCTCCAGCTCTGAAAGCTGGGGTAGGAAAGCCGTCACATGCAGAACCCACTGGCAGCTCAGCCTTTGGGCTCCGCTCGCCGGCTGCCGCACCGAGCCCGGACCGTCCGTCCCGGGCTGGATGTGCTGCTGCAGAGCCCCCCAGCCTCTCCCACGGCTCCTGCCCTGTTCCTCTGCCCACACTGTCCCACAGGGCAGACGCTGCCCCCTCTGCACGACAGTGTCATGGTGTCACAGCGTGAGTCGCTCTCCAGCAGCAGGCATCCATCCAGCCGTCCTACTTGTCTTTTGCATCCAGCTAAAAGGAGGAAGACCACAGGGCATTTGCGAGAGGGTTTCAAACCTTCCCGCCCCTGCCAGCCCAGCCACGCTCCCCCGGGCCAGAATCCCAGCGCAAGGAGTTTGGGTTTGGTGCTTTATCACGTTCACATCAGCGTTGGGCAGCAGTGATTTAAGGAACAACTCAATCAAGGGCTGGCTCATCTCCTACAAATGCAAAGTGGCTTGTGGGGAGAAATCAAAAACCTGACGAAAAGCCTCATAATTCCTACTCATTCCTACCCCATACTCTGAGGAAAGTAAAAACAACCTGAATGTTAGATCTGGAATCTTGAAGGCAGATTCTCTTGGGTGTGTCATGTATGGACAGTGTGCCTGTTAAAAATACAACCGTCTTCTGCAGAGAGCGGACCTGAGCCCCTTCACACAAGCGGAAGAGTTGGCCCAGCCCACAAGTTACAACTTCTGCTTAAGTTTCAAAAAAAAGAGAAAAGTTTCAAGAGTGTTTGATGCTGAATGTGGAAAACTTTCCAGCAGGTCTAAAGTAATGTAATAATTGACATTAGCACCAATCTCAAAGTCAACTTGCTCTCCTGCACGTTCTCGCTTCTGAACAATGTGGCTGAGGGAGGGAGATTGGGCTCTGGGCCCCTTCCCACCTTCTCT